AGATGTGTATAAGGTATATATGTATTTATTTATTCCTCAATGCAACAAAATCATATAAATGACATATATTTACATTTTGCCAATGCAGTTAGCCTACTTATATTGTCCGAGTGGTTAAGGCAGGGGGTGCCCCAACATACAGCTATAATATCGGCTCTGGCTTGATCCTTTGGGGAACGAGAGTTGCTGGTACCGATTTACCGGGTAGCACATAAACGAAGGGACCCCTTAGGGGTTAATATTGTCACTGAAGGAACTACTAGTCCACACATGAAGTACCATTAATATTTTGTTTGATGGATTTATTATCTTTCTGCCGTCTATGCTGCAAGACGGTTTAAAGGTGATCTTTATGTTGTACCATGATTTACATGGTATGTAGCAGTGGCGTAGCGGAAAGTGTATAAGACTGATACCTTCAAATAAAAAAAAGTGTTTTATGCTCTCCCTAATAGCGCAGACTTTACATTAAAACGGCGGCCATGTGGCCTCTCATACAAAATGCATTAGTCTTATCGGCCTTTACCTAGGCACTCTTTTTTCTTTACTGATTGAGGTAATAATTGATACTACGAATATGGCACGTCAACATGATTTTTATGATTGCTTTTGTTTGAACCGATTGCTAACCGAAGTATGTGACAAGGCGTAGTCCTAGGTTAGCTAGGACATATGCCGGCCAGCGATGAGGTATGTTTATTACAAATGATTTTATGGCAATGTAAATCTATCTAGTCTTAGAGCTTGTATGTATATATATATTATTCCAACCAGCCGTGTATTGCTATTCTAAATCAATGTAGGGCCTACATGGAAGCCTATGGCTACGCTTTAGACGCATACAGAAAGAATACCAGGGCGAATGTGGCGCAGTTCTATTTTTGAAACACAGATTTGTATGGTTTTACGACATTCTTTATTAGATAAATAAGCCCTACAGTGGTATATAAACTCCACTCATCACAGTTTTATATACTAAAGAAGGCATCATAATAATGATTGGTACCGTACCAATATAAGGTAGTACAAACACATGCCAGAAAAATCAGGAACTTAACATGGATATCTACGTTACCGTTTCAACAAAACTGACGCTATTACAAACATAAATATATCAAAATCCAAAGATAGGTTAATATACTGGCGCAGGTATAAACTTTTGACCCGATTCACTTAGGCCTATGCCAAAGAATTGATTTGCAGTTTAACAAAGCGAATTATTATCTAGTAAAGTTATGAACATTTATGGTCCCCAAAACCAGGTTCTGAATACCAATATAAAAAGTAATATTAAAACTGAGCATAAACGGAATAAAAGCAGTGCATGAAGGTTTTTATTATTTTTTTGTATTTTTTTTACTTTTGAAATGTCAACTATCTGCGCATAGACACATTGCTGTATGTGTTGGGCCTACGTATCTATCGTTCACGTCAAGTGAGCAGTGAGATTAAAGATGCATTCACATCGAATCCGAATTTTCGAACGAAAGCAGACGTTTGTAGAACTAAAATTTATATTTACTGCTTCCGATCCTTAATGGGAGTGACACAGTAAATCAGATTTCGGAATAACAACTAAATATAAAGTTTTTTCTTACCACGATCTCCTTGTGAGTTTGCAATTAACATCACAATTACCACAAGGGCAAAGAATGCCCTTGTGTGACCCATAATGTTAGAAGTTCTAGCCACAACAATTATTTGTGATAAAAATCCAGTGATAAAATCGCTACCGAGATTCACTATCCAACACTGGTTAAAACTACGGATTACGCGAAGAAGTGCGTGTCCCCTCTTATATTCTAGTACCAACACTAATTAGTATTCATATTTATTTTGATAAATATTTACAATTAGCTGTGGGGTTATAGAAAGTACAATAGTCGGTAGGTCACACACTTGTATTGAGCACTTTTTGAAGTGTATATTAGTCGTTATTATAATTTCAAACTTAATGTGACATACACTGTTAAAACCTTCTCTCTCTCAAAGTGCTACATAACAAACATGATATATATTTATTAAGCGCCGCGGCGCTTATTCGCGCATCACGGTATATTGTATTATTACCAAGCATTGCCCTTCATCGAAAAGCTTAATTCTAACGTTTGACACTCACCTAGCTAGAAGCTGCAGGTTCGAATCCCTCCAGAGACAATTTTAAAAATTATTCGTTCTGTTAAACAGTAAATCTAATATGAATATTAGGCTTATGACACTTTTTTCAAAAAAGGAGCTTTTCGTTGATGGGCTACACTTGATACGATTATATAACATACGTTCCTATTCGAACACTCTTTCTAACTTTTGAATTCGGAATAGTATCTGCGGTTAGATCTGCGCCTAAACCGTAGATCTCTGTGGTCCAACGATACTCGCTCGATAGCAAGCGGCTGTATATACGTATAGATTCGAACCCCGTTAGAGATTTCGAACGTAGGCCTCATTTTGTTTATGTCCACTTGTAATAGGCCTATTATTAAAATTCAGCACACGGGATGGACAAAGGTAAAATACCATTTCATACTGAATTGAAAAATGTTACCTGCATATTTAATTTCGGAGGCCATGGGAAAAAAATAATATTCATTCATAAAGTCCTAAATGATTTTTACCAACTATCGCCTCGACTATAGTGATTGATGTAAAATACAATTGTATTTTGTCATTGTTTCTTGTGTAGGCGGGAAACAAACTTTCCTAAAAAGACGTTCTTAAAAGAGAGAGATTCATCAGCTTTAGATATAAACAAACGTATTTAAACATGACACATAGATTCAAGCATAATAATAGTTCGAGTTCAGCGGTAAAACTGGAAAATATTGATTTTTCCTAATAGTTACAGTTAATTCAAAAGGTTATGATTACTAAAATCGTTTTAACCAACATCAAAATCATCACATTCATCATCACCTACTAACAGCATCTACTTCATCATTGTTATCATCTTCATCATTATCATCACATCTGACATGTATACTATTTTGTATCGTTATCCCAGTAAGACAAATCATATTTATATGACAAATGAATAAATTGACAACCTCATTATCGTCATTAATAATAATAATAATAATAATAATAATAATAATAATAATAATAATAATAATAATAATAATAATAATAATAATAATAATAATAATAGTTCATTCTTATATAGCGCAACGCAAGCAAGCTCTCAATGCGCTGTACATAAAAAAAAACATAATAAGGATGTAATGTTAAATTAATGAAAAACTTGATGAAAAAGAAAGGTCTTTAGCTTGGATTTGAACGAGTTTAAGGTAACACACTGTCTGATGGAGATTGGTATGGAGTTCCAATAAGTTGGAGCTGCGACAGCAAAAGCACTCCCGCCATATGTAGATTTTCTGGATTTTGGAACAACGAGCTGACATTGGGCACCAGGCCTAAGGGCTCCTGTGGGCTGGTAAGTCTGTACAAGCTCTGATAGGTAACCAGGCGCCAGGTTGTGATGTACCTTCTATGCCAGGACCAACACCTTTGTATTGTATCCGTTGCTGCATCATCATCATCGTGATCATCCTCATCATAATATACTGTTATCATAATATACTCTCAGCACATCAGCAGGGCATCAGGGACTCCTTACGAATTATAAATGTTTTATTGACTACGCATATTTTCCAATAACAATTTCCTTTGTTGGATAATTAATAACAATTTTTATTTATTCTTTATCACATCAAAGAGAACATGGCATCGGTCCAATACATAATGCTATGTAAAATCATCCAAATATGACGTTAGAAAACTAGCACGCGATTCAAGGAATAATGGACATTAGTAAACAAACAGGCAAAGTTAAGTGTCTGGTGTTTGTAAGTACGACCAGCACATTATCATATAAATGTTTCGAAATAAATTCTTGACGTTTATAAATAGTGAAGTTGTCACTTCAATTACAATAGGCCCCTAAAGTGAAGTAATGCTTATGAATATTTTTGTTACAATTGAAGCATTTTAGACACGAGTACTGTATGCCTTCGTTGACCTTTAGGCCAAAGTTGGTATATTTTTCCATATTGAATAGATTCCGCAGCCTAATCATTAAACACCCACAATACAGTTCCCTAATGTTGTACTGTTTCTGTTGCTTAATTGTACGGTATGTGATTAAAAAAAGTTTCTAAAACTCTAAGGAAAAAATGGTTCAGTTCTTAAAGATGTATTGTCCCTTGCTAAATACCAAAAAAAATCATAAAAATATTTTTTGAAATTAACTTGCACATTTTAAAGTTATCAACTTGAACATAGAAATTAGTGTATTTAAAAAATGTCTACCCATCAGTTTACAGCGAAAAATGATAGAAACACTTCCAGTCACTGGAAGTGTTTTATTATTTTTATTATTATAATTTTTTGGTTTAAAAATCAGGGTACACGTTTTTTAAATTCAATAGTTTTTATGCACAAGTTAATAATTTGTATGCTTTTGCAATATTTTTTATATTTTGACATTAGTAAGACAATACATCTTTAAAGATCAAAGGATCTTTAGCCAATGACCACTTAGGAGGTGTTATTTATCGCTAAGGGTACGCGAATATCCCACAAAAGCACACAAACATTACCGTACCGTACGCTATTTGGAGGTTCTGTACCTGAAAAGGTTCATTACAGAATAAAAAGCCGAGTACGATCCTCGTTGAATTAACCAAGTTGGATTTTGGTAAGAGTTAGTTTTGGTCCGATTTGGATTAAGGTCCGAGTTGGTTTTGATCCAACTGATTTTTTTTTGTCAAAGTTTGGTTGGTCTGAGTTGAATTGAATTTTGGTCCGGGTTGGTTTTGGTCCAAGTTGGAGATTTTCAATCGAGTGATATTGGGCCGAATACAATGCAATTTTCTTCATGTGTTTAATACTGATATGATCTTACGATGCTTAATCAGTTAACTTTTTAATACATTATTGCATTAATAAATTAAATATTAACTTAAATTTATATTGACAACCAGGCTGTTTATAATTATTCCGTATAATTTAAACAAATATTTTGGCAGTCATCTTTAGATGTTTTTTGAAGGATTTTCAACACCAGATACAAGTAAAATTTATCCCGCGAAAACACCCTCTTTATATACAATTTAAAAATGATTTTTTTTTTGTTGAAGGTGTGCCTGATAAGATTACTGTACGTTCATAGTCGATCTCTATTATTATTTATCTATTCCTATTCAATTCCAACAAATACACTGATTATGTAAAAATAACAGAATAAACGCTATGGTACTCCGAATAATGAAGGCAGGCCACGATTCGACTTTTCTATCTTTATTGAATTATCTTCAGGAATGAATGAATGAAATGAATGGATGGATGAATGAATGAATGAAATGAACGATATGAATAAAATAAATTAAATGAAATAAAATAAATGAATGAATGAATGGAATGAATGACGAATGAAATGAATGAAGTAAATGAAATGAATGAATAAAATGAATGAATGAATGAATGAACAAACGAACTAATGAATGAACGAACGATATGCGTGCTATATCAATATTCTACCAAAGTTCATTGGTATGGCATTTGCCTTAACGGCGAGAGGTCGCACTCGTAGTTATGCAATTAATGAGCTTTTTTTGTTGAAGATCTATACAACCGAGTCTTTTAAAAGAAAAGACATGGTGTTTTAGACAATGTCATCGTCCATAAGTTTATTAAATACTTAGCTAACATTTTTTGTTTTAAATGAAATCCTTATTTATGTTGGATGTGTGTTCTTTTCCATAATAATAATACAGTTCGCATTTGTCGCTGTACTTCATTTATCCACAAAATATTATATTGTTTTGTTAATTATCTTTTAAAACGTGAGCATAAACAAAACTAGAAGCAAGAATCAAACGCTGGCACTACATCACTTTGTCCAACAAAACTATGTCTGAAGATACATTTATGCATTGTACAGGCCTCCTATGGTAATTTTGATTATTATTATACATTTTATGCCATTCTTAATCGCTGTCCAGACTATCAAATTCTATATGACAAGAACATGTCTTAATATGGTCACAATGACATCACATCATGATTACATATAGGCACATATCATGACTATATATGGGCATATAATAGTTTTTTGTCGGTAGTGAAATGTCTTTCAGTCTTCCTTGAGGCTGTCGATGATGAGGCTTTGATGGGCCTTCAGTTCCTCCATTTTTAAACCAATTGAACGTACTACATTCTGTTTTTGCTGCTCTGTTAAAATATCCAACAGAGTACTGTAAGTTCTCAGAGTCTCATTGACGGCTTCTGATGCATCGTTTAAATCATCATTGAAATAAACGGTGTCTTTAGATTCTTCCTGTCAAGATAAGAATATGTCATTTAAAATTAAGTATGAGGAAAAATTCTTTCATTATTTTCTATTTCACTTTCATTTATTTTTGTCAGATCACTAATAGGCCTATAAAATTAATGTGATGGGCCTAGATAAATTGTTAGACACAAGAAACACAGAAGAAAAGTTAGAACTTACTGCATCCTGTAATAACTCTTGGGCCGCCATAAATTTATCTGTTATGTTTTCTATTGCTTTCTTTAAATCATCTTCACTCATATTTGTTTTATCACTAAATTTCCTGGAAATGAGTAGGACTAACGGTAGTGTTAATCTACTCGGATTGGCTCCATTCGACTGATGTAAGGTGTTGGCAAACGCGTTAGTAGCGTGCTTATGAATTGGCATATTAAATGTCTTAGGCCTAGACTTTTGCATCCCTGTGCATGTTTTGAAATTTGCTGTCACACTAACTCCATGTCCACGACCAACGGGGCCTAGGCCCACAGCAATGGGATGAATATGATGAATCCACTGTTTTACCATTTCTGTACAACATTTGTTTGCAATATTTCTTTCTAGAATGTTTGTTAAATTATGGGTCAAACCTGATATGTTTTTCAAACGCATACTTTCTTCTTGGAGGTAGAATTGTTTCCTTTCATACCATAACTCATCCTCTTTCTTTAGACAGCCTAGGCCTGAGCCAAAATGTGTTTCTGATTAACGTAGGAAACGTGACTCACGATATAGCAGACGATGCAACTTATATAATTTGCACAATGCATAATTATTCTTTTCAATATAGTTAAACACAATTACTAAGCACTGATAATAAAATATTTATTTAGATAATAATATATTAGATTTATTTATTATTTTACTTGCAAATTAATATTAATAAATAATTTACTATTAACTAATTATCAAGTACAAATTTATTCACAAAATGTGACCTTTGAAAGGACATGGTGGGTTTTCATTTATTCAATTTCTGTGTTTTCCCGTTCGATTTAGCTTTGCTTGCAGTGACATTTACAAAGAAAGCAGTAATTTTTATGAGCATTTTATTTTTGAATCCTGCTATGTACCAATTTTGAAAGTATATTGTGGTTTTTTAAGTATTTAATCGGTAAGATTTAGGATTTTTCGATCAATATTTCCCAGAGCAGGACAGCGGGCCTAGGCTAGCTAGATGAACGCGATGTGTGTTTGTTGTGTAGGTACGCATGGCCTTCACTCCGTAGTCAGCGGCTGAGCCAGTTCCAAGAGTACTGCAGTGTGATAGCTCAGCTTGGTAGCCTAGATCCAGCCTATTCCATTGTATGTTGTCAGTGCTTTTCTCTTTATCAACCAGATTCCTACATAATTTCATAATGATGTATTTAAACTTGTGTAGGCGACCCACCAACCATTTAATATTATTTCCTGCACATGTTATAATTAGGGCCTAGGTCAAAGCCTAATTTTCTCCAAAATCTGCTGCACGGAAATCGACCCTTATTTTTTTAAATTCGCTGACGATTCCTAGGCTAGTCCAAATTTTTTTAGCAGAGGATAATTCCCTGTGCAGGCCTTGCTATACACAGTCTGTGGAGTGTGCGTAAATACTAACAATATAAAATAAAATATTGTTTTCCTGAAACTCCCATTTTTTTTTTTTTTTGTGGCAGTGGCAAGTAAATGCTAAACAGGCCAAAAATAATATTTTTTTTATTTATTCTTATCATTAAGTGAGCGGCTAGGCTTGTGAAAAAAAATAACATGTAATGAAAAGTACTGTATTGCCTAAAGTTAATCCAAATGTTGATTGAATAAAATTCTATTATTTTTTCAGAGATGACGATCGAGGAGAGCCTAAAACGTGGCTTTAGTAATGATTTTAGTAAACAAAAAGGCGATGAACTTGACTTCAAAATTGTGTGCTCGTCTAAACAAGTCCTAATGAAGCAAATTAACTTCAAACCTGCAAAGACTAAAGTGAACTACCAGATGCAACAACTCAGAGACAAGTATGTCTTGTTGAACCCACAGCAGAAAGATACCAATTACCAACCGGTGTTGTATAACAAAGATGGTACCAAGAAACGAGAACGTTGTAAGTAGATTTACTGATTATCATAGAATGTCTTTATTGTTTGTAGTATGTTCCTTAGCCATGCCCTATCAATTTATATTTTCAATAGTTACCATGTGTCACAGGAGAGTGTGAAGGAAATTTGTTCTTATTCATCATCATATTATTTTTCTATTGTATTTTGTGTCTCCTTTAGAAAATAAAGTTTGAACTGCTTTTGAGAAAATTTTTGTTTAATTATTTAAAAAATGAAATTTTTCTTAATTGTATTTTTATTGTTTAATGCCAAATAAAATGAAATGAAATCTTTCTCATGATTGACAAGAAATAGCACACTATCAAATTTTATGTGACAATAAACTGTGATATGCCCATGTTTGGGTGTAATATGACACATCATGCCCACATATAAGCACATAGTGCGGAGAGGTCTTTAAACAAATTTTGCTGTTGCAGTACCTAGCCTTGGTGAATCTGATGATTCTGAGTCGACAATCGATATACCAAAGCCTGCACATGTGATCTACCCAGCCAGTAAGATTAAGCTCAACTGGCAGGTCAACCGAAGCATTGGCTGTACTCTTGCCAACCAAGGAAACACATGCTTCATGAACTCTGTGCTGCAGTGTCTAACATATACACCGCCATTGTATAACTACTACCAAACTGGACACCATAAACAAACCTGTAAGTTACAGACTTAACCATAGAATGTAGAATGTTTAAAAGTGGAGTATACTTCTGAGAGTGGGGCTGAAGGTTTTGAGAGTGGAGTTGGACTCCAAGGTTTTGATGAGTTAAAGCTAGAATGTTGGTAGTGGTGGTAATTGAGATTTGGCCCTGGAGTTTATTTGCAGGTGCAGCTAGTTGAGCTTGAGGTTTGGTAGAGGATGAAGTGAGTGGAGGGTGTTGATGGAAGTCTATAGTAATGATCACTTGATATATGGGGGTCATTGTCTTTTTTTTTTCTTTCAGTAATTCTCTCCCAAAAGAACTGCCCTCAATCAATGGTAGTTTTCTTGAAAACAAACACAACAAAACTGCTATTTTTTTAATGCTCATTTCTTTAGGTTTAATTTATAAAGATGTTCTAACAATGAATGATTTGCCATTGTTTTTATTTCCTCCTTTCTATTGTGATAGGCAAGCGACCTGGTCTATGTGTGATGTGCACGATAGAGAACCATGTGCACATGGTTATGAAACAGCCAGCACATGTGATTACTCCAGTTGTACTGACATCTAAATTTAGAAGTAAGTTTGTTTATATTATTTTATACAGTATTCATAAACATGAATTATTATTAGTATTATTTTCATGTGTTTATTTTAAATTAAACAGTGCAATGGGAGACCTACCCAATAGTGATTTGGTTCACTTTTTAGGAATCCTGTCTCTGACTGTTTGTACTCGTTTTTTATTTTATTGTACATGTTTTGCGATGTAACCTGTTGTATATCTTTGAGGCATAATAAATGAAATGAAAAAATAAATTCTAAGAAAGTTTTCATTTTAATATTAAGATGTTCAAGTATCAAGTATTAATCCAACTCGACCAAAGAGCCAAAACTAATAAAAAAGAATAATGAGGCATCCAAAAAATAGCCTCATGGAAAAAAAAAATCATAGGGCAATTAACAGGGTAGTTGTCATGTTTTGCTTTAAAAATTCTTTCAAATTAATCTATTCATATTCGTGTCCTGTTTCAGATATTCAGAAACAAATGGAAACAGGCCGACAGCATGATGTTCATGAGTTTCTGCGTGTCCTCTTGGAAGAAATGCATAAAAGTTGCCTGTATGGTTTCAGTAAAGAGTAAGTTTTTGCCTCTGTAACACATGATTGCATTGGGTCCTTAACCCTTCTGGATACCGGATTCTTTTATAGTGCAAACCCTTGAATACCGGATTCTTTTGCAGTGTAACAAGGTTTTTTGCGTTTTTTGAGTATACGTCGTTCTGGTGGATTTTTGGGAACTTTCTGTAAATTATACAGAAAAATGTTTCAAAAACAAAGAAAGCTTATAGAATAAGCTTTCATTTGATGTATAATTTGTATTTTTAAGAATTTTTTTTCATAATATAATATGATATAATATATATATAATATAATAGAAATGACAGAAAAATGCTACATATAAATCGTCAGCAAAAACCGAAAAAAAAATAAATTATAGCCAAAAAAAATTTAAAACAAATATAAAACATTCCTATTCCACACAGTTATATAATTTATTTACCCAACCATCCGTAACTATAAGCGCGATCTTTCCATTCAAAAGCGTCAACTACCCTCACATTTCTAGGCCTAGGCTCATCTTCATCAAGAACATCTCCGCCGTCAGAACTGCTTGAAGCCCCACCGTCATCATCGCTAACAGGCACGTCTCGCACATCTAAAAATTCACCTTCATCGCTGTCTGAATCAAAAATCAAGTCAATCGCTTGCTCAGCTGTGTACACATCTTGTGCGGCCATTTCGAAAAATTTTTGAAATTAATAACAATTTCAAATTGATATTTCTAAAAATTTTTATATAAGCGCATGTGAGTTCTTCACAGATTTCGAAAGACAAAAGCTTCATGCATGCGTGTTCAAAATTTCTGACGTATTGGAGCTAAAATAAAAACGGAAGAGCGATTTGAAAACCACCTATTTTTTAGTCACGAAATTTCGATTGCAGTCGAAAATAGGAATTCTCGGTTTGAGGTCAATTTCGACTACAGTCGAAGACGGTATCTAGAGGGTTAACATTTTAGCGATTCTGTTATAAAGCTATCCTCAATTCAATCTATAATGAAATACGTGTATCTGAAAGGCTGACAACCTTTCCAAGTTGTGTCTGATACTAAATGGCCACTCTGCTTATCCATTGGTGTTTAGTTTACAGTTAAGTATGAATTGATATAAACAGACAAAGCAATATTTACTACCTTTTTTTGTTTTTCCTGATGAAGCCATCACCCTTATTTCATGTCAAAATTTCACATACATTCAAAAAAGATACAAAATTACAGTTTTTTTTTGTTTTTTTTTTTACACAATTAACATAAATTATATCAACAAAATATGCCAAGGAAGAAGCATCCAGCATTCACCTAAAGTCTTTTTAAACATTTTTTTTTAAATGAAAAATTTTTTTTTTATATATTAAAATAGTTAATCCTTTTCTCCCCTCTTTTTTACTTTCCTTATTTTTATTGTTATAAATCTTTTTTCCCCTTTCGAATCAATATAATTTTACTTTCTTAATTGTGATATATATAAACAAGCATTGTTTGTTTATTAGTGTAAATATAAACAATGTTGAAAGTTCATAGAAACTTTAGATTTTGCAATGCTATTTGTTAAACAACTTGTATTTCCAATGTCCTTCACAGTTTGGATCGTCTAACTGAAGAAACATCTGCTGTATACCAAGTGTTTGGTGGGAAAATCAGAAACAGGAGTAAGTCTCAAATTCCATCATTTAAGCTCCGTACACACTTGTTTTCTGTGGCAAAACCAGCCCTTTCTATGAAAAATTCAAAATTGAGTTTTTAGTATTTTTAGATACTGCATGAAATTTTCAAACAGTGAGTATTTATTTGATAGAAATTTGTTGAGTATTAACAAAGTTATGAATACTTAATTCATTGGAAATCAGCCATGTTGGTTTTGAGAAAACAGCTTACAAAGTTTCCAAAATCAATAGTTTATTATTAAGGTTTGTATTTTGAAAATAATTTTAATGTACTTTTCACTTAGACTTAATGATTGATACTTTGCAGAAACGTTCCTCTATATATCTTCTTTTATAAAATCCAAAAACCTGAAAATGTTCAAAATTCTGATCCACTGACGTTTTGGGTGCTTGTGCAAAGTTAGGAATTGCGACAAATGGAGCCGGTCACGTATATGGGTTTAAAATAAATGTATTAAATACAGTAGTTGTGGAGATTATATATTTGTTATATGTTTAAATCAGTGGAGGTTAACATGTTTAATTATATTTGAATTACAGTTTGTTGTACCAACTGTAAGTACAGATCTGACACCTTCGAGACCTTCCTTGACCTGCCTCTTGATCTTAAGGTATGTTATTTTATCCTTTTGGTCCAAAAAATGTGACTATAAATTTGAAAATTACTCTTCTTAAGTTTTTTGTTAGATTTTAATTGATTTTATTCAGTTTCTACATTTATGCAGAATAACAATACAGATAAAATAAGTCAAAAAATTATGGATTTTTTGTTGTGCTTTGTTTTGTGAATGTTGTTTGTTTTAGCTTATCTTTGTTAGGTTGACGCAATTCAGTATTCCAATGTCAATTTTCGTTGTTTTAATAATAAACCTGAATGAATGAATGAATGAGGATTATACATTCAGTACGTAACTACATACATACAGTTAAATCTAATTGTTTGTTTTTTTGTTGTTATGTGAAAAAAGAAATCCACTCCCTAAGCTTTATTATAAGACAGTTTATGAAGTATAAAAGTAGATTTCTGCTGAACAGCTTACTTAATATGAAGATGAAAAAGTTTAATTAATTTTAGATACCAGAATCCATCAAGCAATAGACTCACCATATAGTATCTGAATTGTCATAGTGCCCCTGAATGTTGCATTCATTCTGTTGGCAGCTTAGCTCAGTCAGCTAAACAGGTGGTAAACACTGTGTGTGCGCTGAACCATGAAGATCTCTAGGTCCCCGGTTCAATTTCAGCTGGAGGGCTGAAATGCAACTTAGGATTGCGCACCTCTTTCAGATGAGACTTTTAAGCTGTTGGTCCCGTGTGCATTTATGGCCCATGTACACGTTAACGAATGCAGTGCACTCTTAGGAAAAGAATAGGGGATTGTCTCCCGGTGTACTGCCCAATCACCACCAGAAGGGCTTCACTGGAAATAAGTCTTCTTCAGACGTTTGTGGGTTATTTTTAGTGTTTACACCAAATAAGTCCATACCATACAATGCAAATCCTTGTTGACTGATTGAATAAATGTTTGATTGGATGACTTTTTGATCTTTCAGAGTAAGAGCATGGAGCAGTGTCTACGTGTCATGATGAAGCCAGAGATGCTTTTTGGAGACAACAAATACAAGTGTTCAGGGTACGTTTACTGTATCATGCATATTTAGTAACTACTAAAGTGCTACAGTCACATAAACCCTTCAGGGGTGGTGCCAGTGGGGCGGCCGGGGGGCAGGGGTCCCCCGACGGGGAGAAAAAGCATAATTCGTTATGGAGAAAAAAAAATTATATGTACTTTCTACATATTAGTAGACTCTAAAATCGATTAAATATTCCTTTGAAACCCCAAAATTGTCAAAATTTTCGAGGGCTTCGCCCCCTGGATTATTTTCGAGGCCTTTTAATTGAAACTCGACCATGCCCATTTTGCTTTCGTTGGGGAAATCTGACCCCGGGTGGGGTCAGATTTTGCATTCTGCATTTTTGTTTTATGAGATTATCAAACGCTTTAATTTTAATACTGTATTTACAATACTATTACATAATAACCAGGTTCAACACACTTCTGTAAGGAAGAGTCACAATTGATTCAAGTTTGATAAAAAAATAATAATTATTAAAATTGATAGATGTTAAAGCTAATTTTTCATGTAATTTCTTACATTAGATGCAGAAAACTTGTAGATGCACGTAAAACGTTCCGCATAGTGAAACCTCCAAATGTCTTGACAGTGGTTTTGAAAAGGTAAGTTTTGTAATCTTCCAAAAAAATTGAAATAAATCTTGGATATATTAACACTTTGACTGCCAAAGACGGAAATCTCCATCTTTTGAGTATTATTGTACAATCCGATAGATATGGAAGTTGTGGACATGTGATAGAAATTTTTTGTGTTGGGCTGTACATTTATCTCATTTTGAATATTTTTATGTAATATATTTAGTACAGATTTACAGAAATATATAAAAGTACAGACAGCAGTAGTGAAGTCTGCAGGCCTAGGCCCTAGGCCTAATATTGTAGCGTGAGTGACACGTCTGTGTAGTAGGCCTAGCCCCAATCTTCAAACCAACCCTACCCCAGGGGACCTCATCCATGTGTGGGATTTAAAATTTCATTATGATGTATTCATGTATGTATCAATAACTAATATACTAAAGAAAAAAAAGTCGGATTCTTGCGTTTAGCTGTTCGTTTTTAGTGTTTATGAGTTGTGAAACTAAAAATGCTGTTTTCCCAGCTTAATTGCCTGAAAAGTGTGAAATTGTAAAAAGTAATGTTTTCTATTCAAATTTGTGTGGTAGTAGTTTATTGTATGAATAAAATGTATAAATATCATTTTAAATCTCATGAATTACTCTTTATTTGGGTGTGAAGAACATTCCATATCTGTATATACATGTGTTCTCAATGTGAACTGGAAACTTGGTCAAATTGGCTAAAAATGGCAGAGAGCATTGCTATTGCTAAAATGGCCTGGCAGTCAAAGTGTTAATATATTTGAGGCATGTTGTGGCAAAAATTGAAATTCAAGTTACTGGTATTTTCGGATACCTGAGTATGTAATCTTTAAAACGAGGGGTCAAACACTGAAATTGGACATTTCAAGCACAAGTTATTGGAAAGTGAATGTACAGCACTCTTAAAGTCAAAATAAACATGATTTTGAGTAATTGCCTTCTAAAGTTATTGTGCATACATTGTTTAATTGAACTATCAAAATATCATTTGTGAATATTATTATTCATCCAGGTAACTATAGTGTCAATACAAGGAATTAAATAGATCTTTTCTACTGGACTTACATGTTCATTCAGTATCAATATTTCATGTCCAAACCAGGACGCATCATCAGGCCAACTGGTGTTCTGTGGCTAAAGGTTGTTGACCTGTGACATCATATGGAATGTCACAAGTGGAACTTGAGAGAAACCAAAATGACATTAAATAAACAATTTGTTGACCATTTCCAGGACCGATACTTTGGTACATGATTAGTAAGACATGAAACTGTTGATCTATAGTGAAAAACAAATCTGAATTTTTAGGAAATTTTTTGAGTTCCCATATTATATAGCTCATTTACTCAATACTGGCCTGTGCGACAACTTAACCGTCTCGCCATGACAATCCTCATTTTTTTCATTTTTTATATGCTTATAAGGTTGTTACTACATTGCATAATCAATATCATCATGATCAATATCATCATTGCTTTTATATATTATTCCATACATTTCCTAAATTTTCTTGTATATTTATTCTTCCTTTAGATATGATGCTTCTGGACGTAACATCAAGAACAGAAGATTCATCGAGTATCCCGAGTACTTTGACCTTAGACCTTTCATGGCTGGTGCAAAAGTATGTTTTGTTTCTTCTAATTCAATATTGAACATAAAATATATACTTTATATAATAATTTCAAATTCTGTAGTAATATTAGTATTAGTTCTGTAATTAGAATTTATTGGTAAGCATCCATGTCTGTTCTACGTTCGCATGCTTGACAATGATTTATCATATATTATTTCCACATAGAAACCTGTTAAGTATAAGCTGTATGGCGTTCTACCCCACGAGGGAAGTGGCAGCGGGCAAGGGCACTATTTTACATATGTCCGAGCCCCAAACAACAACTGGTACAAAATGAATGATCATGCTTCAGACAGAGCTGTACGAAACTATGTAATGAATGCCGAAGCCTACCTACTATTTTACGTTCGCATGATTGACAATGAATTTACATCTCCTGAAAATGGCCGCATTCACACTCAGAGTCCCAAGACTAATCATAGTTACGCTAATGGCTCAACATCATTCTCACCATTACCTCAGAAACATGCTGTGAAGTCCACACATCCATGCTACACACCAACAGTAACAAAACCATCTACCCCAAGATCTGTAGCGACTTCTCTGCCACAGGATCGTGCAAAGCTTTCATTTACCATTAATCGTAAAGACCCAGGTAACACAATCAGTCAAAAACCAATTGGTTCAACAAAGAATTCAAACATGAAATCTCTCACAAGGAAGACAGCAGAGTCTTTTTTGAAGCCCAAAGTTAGAACTGAAACTCCTCCACATCAGGCTAGTCCATCTAAGTCAGGTACATCTTCGAATATAACATCCTCAAAGCCCATTCTTGTACCCTATGGAAGTGACTCCAGTGACTCTGAAGATTATGACGAAATTGTGCAGAAGCTGTCGGTGAAATCTTCAGAGAAGAATAAGTCAAAGATTGAGTCCTCTAATGTTAGAGGATCTAACACAAACTCAACAAAGAAAGAAGATTCAAAGACATCGCCATTATCAAACAACAAGAATTTGATGGCAATGAGAAGTACTGAATCACCTCTTAGACTTGCTATAACAACAGACTGCAATGCCTCCAAGATGATGTCAACTGGTCTATGGAAAGTTAGTGCAGAGACTGATCAAAAACCACCTTCTATTGCTTCGGATGCAAGTAACACATCAGCATCATCCACCTCTGAATGGAATGTGCAAGAAAAGAAAAAGCTTACACCTCTACCAAAGGAGAGCAGTTGTGAAGCAGAGTTCCTTGGTTGGACTGTGAGTCACAAACCACCTACAGAGATTCCTGTCTCGCCTTCTATTCCTCAATCGCCCACCTCACTTACGGAGGGTTCAAGCTCGTCAATTAACGAGAAAAGAAGTTGGTTAAAAGAAAAACGTCCAGTTACGAACACAGGAAGTAAATGGCCCCCTATACCATTGCCACCTCCCCAACATGGAAAGCAGGATATCAAGCCATCCCAGAAATGGAAGAGTGCTAAGCAAGAAAGTAATAAACATAGTGAAAAATATAACGGTCATCAAAATGGACATTCAATTCAACTGGCGGACAAATCTAATGGACATATATGTGAGAACAGCCTGAAAAACAAACTAACTAGCAATGCAAACTTTAATCTGAAAAGGGATTTTTCGAAGAATGAACAGATTAAGAATGATGTTGACAGTATGTCTTCAAAGAGATCCAGAATGGCTAACAATTCTTCTTCAGATGCTTCGTGGAAGCAGACAAACACTAACAACTCAGGTAACTACAGAATAAATTTATATTAATTTTTATTTACCCTTATATGGAAGTTTGTTGCGTAATACAGGGCCGATTCATAAGGTAGTCCATCTAGCTCGGGCCTCTAATTTTTTTAATTGAAAAAATGGGGGAAAATAGAAATTAATTTGAGGCCATCTAGCGGTGCTGTAGCCATTATTACTATAATTTTTGGTATAATTTTTTTTTGTTATAGCTGTGTTAAAAGTTATTTATAGTTTTGCATGTTTTCACAGGTAATTTGACATCAAATAATGGAGACAACAAATACACCAACCAGACACCAACAAAGACCTTCTCTTCCACTGGTAAGTTTGTCATCATGTGTGCTGCACATATCAACAGTCCTTGACACATATAAACTAAGGACAAGCTTGGTAATGGTAATTTATGTTCAATTAAAATGCCAAGATAATCATAAAATAAAACTGTCAAGAGTATTACTAACCCTGCTGTACCACACTGAACAAAATTCTTGTTTGTTGCAGCACCAACCCAAGCTTGGGATCAGCATGTCAGAGACGGCTACCACAGGAAAGACCTCAACCAGTCTTCATCCAGTAGGTCTGCATGGGATGGCAGGGACAATGACTCCAGTAACAGAAACATCCACAAGACCCTCAGTAGCACCTCCATGCGTAGCTATGGATCTTCAGGTAATCACTCCTCCACCACAATTGGAGTGGCGTCTTGATTTTACTGACCAGTTAACCCTCTGGATACCGGATTCTTTTGTAGTGCAAACCCTTGAATACCGGATTCTTTTGCAGTGTAACAAGGTTTTTTGCTTTTTTTGAGTATACGTCGTTCTGGTGGATTTTTGGGAACTTTCTGTAAATTATACAGAAAAATGTTTCTAAAAACAAAGAAAGCTTATAGAATAAGCTTTCATTTGACGTATAATTTATATTTTTGGGAATTATTTTTCATAATATAATATAATATAATATATATATAATATAATAGAAATGACAGAAAAATGCTACATATAAATTCGTCAGCAAAAACCGAAAAAAAAAAAATTATAGCCAAAAAAAAATAAAAACAAATATAAAACATTCCTATTCCACACAGTTATATAATTTATTTACCCAACCCTCCACTCCCTAAGCCTCAAGCATCGTTCCATCCTGTAAGTGTCGAGTGTACTTGCTGTTGAATATGAAGGAAATTTAAAAAAAAAAGGGGGGGGGGGAAGAGAACGACAACTTGAAATGAAGGAATGGAAAGTGGATGTACATAGAGAAGTAGTAGTAATTTTTAAAATGAGTATGATGGCTGGAAAAGGTCGTGCTGGGCCATGCGATGTGTATCAGATGCTTTATAATCTAATAAATCGCAATTTGTATATTTTGTTCTTATTGGGACTGAGAGTCATATCATTTGTTCTTGATTGTATTTTAATAGATGAAGAAAGCGAAATCAAATCAGTTTAGAGAAAGGCACCGGCAAAGTTACAATGCCTTTCAGCGGCATCAAAACTATCGCAACAACCCCCAGCACCCTCCAACACAAGGCTCGCCCTACAAGGTTAGTACTTTATAGCATATTTGTAGAGTATCATGTTGTGATATCTGAAAACTTATACATTTATCATTAATTCTCATGAATTTCAGATTGTTTTTTTTTTTCATTTTGTGCTAATTATTACAAAATAATCCAAGTTTTAGATGTTTTATGCAAAAACTATGTGTTTTAATTGTTTTTTTTTTTTTTTTTTTTTGTAAATATGTAATTCCAAATAAAGAAATAGAATAAAATGAATATATAAATACTGATATCACTTTTCATTTGTTAGTGTGTATTCTATCTTTGTGATCTTAATAATTTGAAATTCTTTTGTCATTGCAGCCTTATGTACAAGGCTATAACAGATTTCACCCTTACAGGAATCACCACAGCTGGCACGGGAGTAAGACGGGGAGGCGATGAACATGCTAAAGAAAGTAACAAATTTTGTCATAGTCGTATTTTTGTGATAAATTTTAAATTGTAAGTAATTAGAATTTTTATTTATGGAAAGAAAATCAATTTAGAGATTTTAAATTCTGGAAAGAAGTTTAAGGAAGGAAAAAAATTATGAGAAAATTGCATAGTTGGAACAAAAATCATCAAAGATTTAAAATACATTATGTATAAACCGTTCATTAGCTAAAGCAGAGGAATTATACAGAAATTTGGAATTTAACAGTCTAATCACTGGCCAACCACATTTCTGATCAATAGTTTGTACACCATAAATCATAGTAATTATTCGGAAATCATAATTTATAACCAATCGGTGACCATCATTATTTAAATTAACCAATGGCAATAATATTTTTAATTAAACCAATCACTGAACATTAAAAATTGTAATTTATACTTTAGGTACTGTAAATCTAATATATAATTTGACCATCCGATGTATGTCATTGACCATCAATAGTGCCATGAGCTCTGCCATATTTTATCTATATTTTATGATGTATCTGTCATTTAGCAATGATTTTTATAAATATATAGCCTTTGACCCAATGTAAACTATAAAATTGCTGCTAAAATTTACATTTTAATCTTGGGAAAATAATATGGTTTTATGATATACCAAAAATGTATGTTTAACAAAAATACTTTGGTTTTGTGACATTTTGATAATATTGTAATATGAATATAGCATATTGGACTACCTCATTCCTTCATACTGTATAAATTCCTTTCTCACATAATATATTGCTTCAGTATGTATATAAAAGATCCGTAATAGCTGAAAAAAAATATTGTGGATGATTTAGAGAATCATTGTTGAAATGTTGATTCATTGTATCAGTTATAAAAATTTATTACTATTCATACTGTTGTACAGATGTTCATGTTGAAACAACAAAACATGTTGTTTTTTAGTATACAGCACTTGCACAGATATGCTCTATGCTGTGGTAATGAAATTTTTGTGTAAAATGGAATGTGGGTTCATTTCAGTTCATTTCATTTAACATACATGCCAAGCACAGTGTGTTGACAGATGACCAATGGTTGGTAGTACCTTGTCTAATTTTGACCTAGTTTCTGCAGATTGCAGTATACTCATCCTCCTGTTAGGAGCCTATTTTTAAATATTCTATCATTATTATGATTTACTGCATATGTTTATGAATGTATGTAAATAAACTTAATCTTTGTATCACAGGCAGATATAGGCTTGCATTTTTTTCATAGCAAGTAAAAGAAAATTGTGATGAAAATTCCCAAATAAGAACACAAAATTGTCATAATGCAGTGTTTGATTAGGTTGTAAAGGAAAGTATTGACACACATTTGTGTTTGTAATTTCCTTAATAATGTTATTCAGTTTTTATCACTTGTGATTGTTTGGGAAATATATATCCAACAAGTAGGAATTATCTTGATGATGCAGTCTCCTAATAATGTTTGCTGCCCTCTACATTTTTTTTCATTCAATAGTTTACTTCCCTTGCTGTTAGTCCATTTAAAAGCCAAATGGCTTCTTAATTGTTTACAGTGATTTTTGTTTAGGTTTCTATAGCCCAGATTTATATTATATTCCTTTATTGCATTTGTATGTGATAACAATTGGCTGGGACAATTTTGAGCTAGTTTGAATCTATGTATGAATGATGTTAATGGTTAATATTCTGTTTAGCTCCATTTTATTTAAATTAAAGAAAACAATTTTTGTTTCCAATCTAGTAAGCTAATTATTATAATATTTTTTAATTTCATTTTTCTACTGAAGAATGACTGTCAGTCTTTTGTTTTGTTTTTTTTTTTTTTTTTGGACCATTTGGATTCAATTCAATAGGTACTGTACTCTGAAGGTGTACTTGACCTTATGAATATGACTGAGGGGTCATTTTTCTTTGTTTTTTATTTTTTAAATTTCTGTGTTTTTGAGAGAGTACATGACTTAAGCTGCAAGCTTCTCACCTCCCTGATGAGCATACCTAGTGTTTGCTGCCAGGAAATACAAGGTGTTGCGCCAGGGGCCCTCATCAGGGAGAGCTGGCTCCCCTGTTTGAGAGAAAAACCACAATTCGTAGAGAGAAAAAAATTTATATTTTATTTCTACATATTAGTAGATTCTAACTATTTATAAAATCGACTAAATAAGCCTTTGAAACCCCGAAATTGTCATATTTTTCATAGGATTCACCCCTTGGACCTTTATCGAAACATTTTGAGCAACACCCGACCACTGCCACTTTGCTCTCATCAGGGACATCGCTCCCCCCAACTGGCAAATCCTGGCATCACCCATGGGAAATACAGACACCAGTACCCTCAATGATAGTTACCCATTTATACTCCTGGGGGGGAGAGACAAACATTAAGTGTCTTGGCCAAAGACCCAAGCAAATTGCATGAGGAGGGATTTAAAACCCTGAACGTAATCATAAATGTTGACACCAACACAAGTTTCTTGTCTTCATGATGATGAAATGTACTGGATGACCACATTCTTCATTATTTCTTTTGTATTCATGTTACTTAAATATTCTTCTAGACATTTTTTAAATGTTTAAGTACAGTATACATGAATGTAATTAGTTATTTGTGCATATTATTTCATCACCAAAATGTGCATTTGGCATTTAAGGTACAATATTACGAAATCATTTTTCAAACGCACAGTACAGCATGTATTACATTGGTTTTTAATCACTTTTTTTGTTACATTCACATTAATTTATTCCTTCACCTTTGCTTTAGTACTTAAAACTTAATATTTTATAGAAATTAAACCTTGAACTGTGAAATTGGAATCCACGCATATTCACCACCTACATCTGCATAGTGGCGTATCTAGAGATGCGTGGAAGAGCACCTTCTGCCACATCCCCTTAAAAAGCTGCCCCAGCCGCTCCCCACCCATTGAAATTGTCTGAAGGCAAAAAATAATTACCTAATATCACCTTATTTTGCGACCTAGCGCCCCTCATTTAATCATCGAGCTACGCCTTCACCCCTGAGCCCCTACACCTTTGCCCTGGCACAATACATAACCATATAAGGCTTTGCACATGATGATGTCATATAGGCAAATCACTGATATTTGTCACTATAAACATGATATTTTGTAAACAGTATTAAACATAGTGTTAAGATAAACAGTCTGTTTTGTGCTACAAAGTTTTTTTTATTTGTGTTTAGTTTAAGTTCTTAATTAAATATAATATAATAAAAATATTCTCCTCGCCAATTTAACACATTAATAATAATTCCTTCCTATTATTTGCTTTGCTCTAAAATTAAATTAATCAAATTAACGCATTTTTGTATTAAACCGCCTGTAAATCTGCAAAAAAAAAAACTGCTTAAATTTATCAATCTGATTTATTTGGACCCTAATAACTTTTTGATCATTTTAATTTAGGGTTTTATATGTTTTTATAACAGACTGCATGTCTTTAAAATTGACTTTGAATTAAGAAGCTCAGCTTTTGTTTAATTAATAGGCCTATATATTAGCTAATTGGACACGATTGTTTAAACAATCGCAGCAATGTTGTATCATTGCTATTAATTTTACAAAAATTATTTTAGCAGCTGTCAAAATATGTATCGTTTATCATCTTTAGTTATATTGTATCCATAATTATGTATATTTCACATTGATACTGATAATGCGGTTGGAGTGTGATGTAATGTACCTTCCTAGAGTGTCAATTAAACTTAGCAACTGGCCAATCAGAACAGGGCCAGGAAACACGCGTCTCACAAACACGCGCGTTGTCCCTCAAACGCACATGTTTGCGTACGTTTTTACACTGTTTGTCGACCATAGCAACAATATCCAAGGGGCGGGGCTTAGCGGAAAGGTTCATTGTTTTGTAAAATTGTGTCTGAATGTGTATTACCAGAATTGATGACATAAATGTACAACATATGTGTTGGTGGATTACATCTATGATGTATATAATGATACAAAGATGACAATATTAGACGATTATTTGTGTTTTGTCTTTGTGTGTGTGTATGTATGAAAAGTAAATTATTATTTTCAGTATACAGTAGTCGTGGATTGTAGGGCACACTTTGCTTGTTTATTTGATCATATTGATTAAAAATCACTGCCATAGCTGATAATGATCTGTTATTAAAGGCTAATTTACACAGGACTCGACAGATGTATACAGCAGCTACAAACATAGAACCTATTATATTTCTTACAGTTTCCTAAATTCAATAATTTTGAATTGTTCGCTCAGTATTAAAATTAATTTTCGTTCTCAAAAGAGAGGGGGCTTAGAAATTATTTTTGATCGATGGAGATCCAGAGTACCTCGCCTTCATGATGGTTAGGTCTGATGGAATATTATCATTATGGCTGGAAACAGGACTATGTGAATTTCAATGTAATTTTCTTTTATCCTTTCTCATTTACTTTCCTAAAATTTATGTGCGTCATTTGTCCCCGTCCCCCGTCAAGTTCCGTGTAAATTAGTCTCTTAATTCTGAAACAAATAAATTGTAAATGAATTCAATGCATTTTGTCAATCCATACATGTTTTTAGTTGTTGGCAAAGTGTGTGATGGTATTTCCATGCGCAGTGCATAAAAACTGCAGTTTGATTTTGAAAGAATGATATAAGTTCATATTTTGTTATGTCAAGTAATTCTGGAAAACTTGGTGCTTGAGTTCAAGATGATGTATGTTTGTACAGTGAATAATGTTAGATTGTTTCTAATGAGAAATAAATAGATGCGAGAATACATCAAGATTTTGTTCATTATTTATGCTGATCACAAAATAAATTAAAAAAATAACGACACTAGCCATTTGCTGAATTTCATTTGGCTTTACTGTAATTTATTCAAGAACACAATTATAGCAGGAAATATTATATGATATATTATTATACAGTATATATATTATATTATATTATAGGATATGTGTATCCGAAATACATCTCGGAAGCAAACTCTATAATTTGGGTCCGACATCCGTCAAAGTATGTTATTAGATGAGATGTAGTCCAAACTTTAGGCCCTCTTGGCATCCTATACTTTCTCTATTTGGTCAACTCCCTCAAATACTAATACGATTTTATTTGGCTTTAAAACATGCAAACAGAAGGTAAACAAAATACAGTATTGCATCATAACTTTTATAATAATATCAAGGCAAATATAAATAAACAAAATCAAAAGGTAAAATCAAAGTTGAATAACCACAAACATCGAAGACAAGGATAACTCATTGATAAGGAATGACCCATGTTAACCAAAACAGATTTACAGAAACAAAAAGGATCTTCACTAGAAAATTGCTCCGGTCCTTTCAGTATTTATATTATTAAATAATACTGTGGTAAATGTCCTGTATTAGCCTCTACTATTGCATGTCCATAAAAAAATTGTAATCTTAAGTAAATCAAAGAAAATTATTTCTATGTTTAACATTAGTCTAAAAAAAAATATGAAAGCACCAAGAGAAAGACAAACAAAACAGTATATTTTTGTTTATACAAATGAATGTTACATACTGTAGTGTGATGAATATATACTGCTGGTAATTTTTATTGAAACTTCAACTGTATTTAAAATAAAATATATCCAAACTTAAGTACAAATTATTATTGAAAATAGAATATTAAAGTAAGTACAAATTATTATTGAAAATAAGATCATAAACAAGGTGGATGATTATATGGTGTAAAGCACAGGTGGGCGAAGTTCTGGCCGCCTGCAGCCTGACAATGATTTCTTAAAAATTGAAAACCATATTTGTGCGGCCAACAAAATATTACCTTGTTTTTACAGCCTGACACTGATCATCTCTAAAAAGTAATATTAAAACTGAGAGTAAGGTATTAAATCAGTGCATGAAGTTTTTCTGAATTCACTTTGGCCCTCGGACGGATTATGTAAAGTGTGTGCTTTTCTGACTATCAAATAAATTTTTTCTTTAATACAGTATTTATAATAATCACAACTCTCCATAACGACCTCATGATGATGATAACAGTATTTATAAATTGAATAAAACACCAAATAGCTATAAGGACGAATAAATGGTGTAAAGTGTGCACTTTTCAGACTATCAAATAAATGCTTTCTTTATTACAGTACTGTATTTACAAATTGAATAAAACATGCAATAACTGTATACCACAGTAATTACAATATTGTTAGCAAATAGGGGTTGGAAGGGCCCCTTTGAATCTGCCGGTGTTTCAACATTGTTTCTTTGCAGCAAAATGAAGACACTGAAATAATCTGTCTGGGTTCACATACTATCATATTGTTTCTTCAGTATGTCGTGTTCACGAACCATTACAGCCGTCAACGTCATAATCTCTTCTTGGAGCTGTGATTTTGAACCATCATTTATGTCCGTTATTGTTTGTATGAGCTGTACAGACTCCACAAGCACATATATTCCAATCAGAACTCCACTTAGCGCACGTAGGGCCGGCGACTTGGAGGCATCTAACAGGCCTGTTTTCATAGCCTTAGCTACACCTTCAAGAGCCGTTTGCATTTGGTCTCTCTCGGATTTAATCTGTTTTAATTCAGTGATAAGTTCCTCAGCGCCGAAAATCTGGTTCCTGCTTTCAAATTCATCGACCGCTTGACTGAACACTTTGCTGGTTGTCATCAAGGACTCTGCAACCTCTGCCATTTCCTTTGTTAGTTCTTGATCTCTTTTAATCAGAGAAACCACTCGTTTACTCTGAAGGGTTGTAAACACACCGTCCACAACATTTGCGCCCCACTTAAATACTGCCGAGGAAAAGCTTACCCTAATTCCCAGGGCAGTTAAGGAAAGACCACCTGTCTCTGGAGCAAGTATAACACCCCCAATGGCAAGTATTCCACCAATGATGCCACCAATTTGCCCAGAAGCCTTTACTACATTTGTACATAACTTCATGTTTGCAACTTGGTTAATGAACTTCGACAATTCTTCAATCACTTGCAAGCGACATTTCGACCATTTTTGGAACTTTATGCGAAACTCCTTGGTCAATTGTCGTAGTTGGGGGTGAAGGTCATGGATCAGTTCAAGCTGTTTTAATTGCTGTTCGCCAGAGCGTGTCAGTTTTCCAGATGGAAGAAAGTATTTAGAAGTATTTAACAACAGATGAAACTTTGCTGCGAACTTCTTACATATGTCCTCCTTCGAATGACAAAGATGGCACGTGTAAGTTTCATATCGTGGATACAGGTGTACGCTCATGGTGTCTGTAGAAAAAGAAAAAAATACATCAGGTTAATTAACATATTACAGCCAAACATGACAGCAATATCGAAAACATTCAGTAGGCTACCCGATTATCATAGTATTATAGACTAGGCTAAAATAGTGTCTCAAGTGTTGAATTGAACATGCCCAGCAAAAGGTCCCACAAAATCACATTGAAACATACACAACATGTTGTGGGACATGAGCGTGTTCTTGGCCCTTCTCATTACCCATTTCAGAGATCCTGAACCTTAGTTTAGAATTCCCACTATCATCAATTGTGGAATACCCACTTTATCATTGTGGTCTGTGGAATTTTCCTATTGTGAAATTACCGGGGTGGGGAAATTCCTAACGACATGCGCGTGTTCTGCCCCCCCCCCCCCATTATTCATCTCAGAAAATTCCTCAAACTTACTTGGGAATTCCCACTCCGAAATTGTGGAATTTCCCTGTTGTGATATTACCAGGGTGAGGAAATTCCCACTCCGTAATTGTGGAATTTTCCTGTTGTGATATTACCGGGGTGGGGAAATTCCCAACAACGACATTCGTGTTCCGCCCCTCTCATTACTCATCTCAGAAAATTCCTCAACCTAATTGGAAATTCCCACTGTCACTGTGGGATTTCCACCCCTTGCTTGGGCAGGCCTAGCTATAGGCCCTAGGCCTAAGTAGCCTAAGCCTATTGCAGAACTGCGGAGGCGGAATTTCCAAGGCCTATGTTGTAGTAGTACTAGCCCATGCCAGGGCCTACTAGGCCTAGTACTACTACTACTACTGAGCTCAAGCGGCGTTTTCTCGTAGGAAAAACTATTCAGAAACACAGGGTCAGGACCTTCCTCTCTTATCTTTTAAAGCCTAAAAAGCACAAAACGGTTAGGCTGTCCACGCTATTCTGAAAATAAGGGCCGATTTCCGCGTAGATTTTGCCCAAATTAGGCTTTGACCAAATCTTAATATATAGGATCCTAATAACCACCGATGTTTATGCAACAACTACGATTCCGCGCATATTTGAGCTTTTTGAGATATCCTGCGCAATTAAAAAACTTCACATCACAGTATGCGCCCGTGTGCAAATACCACCTACCATCAGTTAAGTTGCCTGTACTGTAGACTGTAGTGGTGAGTGGAAAATTGTCTCTGTAAATCCAACCAACTTCACAGACATCAAACCGTTAGCCCAGGCCTACTACTGAACTGCCTCCGACCATGGTTACCAAGTTACTGACCATCAACGGCCGAATAGGTGCTACTTTTACCATCATATGACGTCAGTTTCTATAAATTGCATGCCCTGGAAATTCCACTGGAAATTCCACGAAGTTAGTGCTTTCGATACGCATTTGATCTTGTCATGAATTCAATTGAATTGGCGCGGTGAAAAATTCTGTTTGAAAATTGTATCAAGATTGTTTTTGATTGATGTCAGACAACAAAAATAAATAAGACATAGACCTATGACCTGTCTCTTATAAACATCCAGAAGTGTATAAGAGACAGCGTTTACTCTGAAGGGTTGTAAAC